CCGGTATTATATCCTTTTAAAAAGAGTTGATTTAGTGGTTTTCGATGATGCTCAGCAAGTTTATAATTGGAACTATATGTCTATTGGTACCAATTGAAGTTTATTAACACATTTTACTTAATTAGCCGAATTATAGTTGCGACTATCTCCCTATACTATGTCCCCCTGGCCGTATGACTCCCCTGCACAAACCGCATAGGTGTAGCTTTCACGACTTTTTTAAACAAATCGGAAAAAATGAAACAAAAATGTATATATGTGCACATATATATTTTTTACTACACTTTTCTGCCTAATAAGATTTCGTTGATACCATTGACGAATACAAGAGCAGAGCGCGGCTTAGTTTTTCTGTACAAAATTGTAAATGGAGTAGTTGACAATACTTCGCTTTTACGTGATGTAAACATTCATGTCGCTCCTCGTCCCACTAAGACACGCAGTACTTTCAGCATTCACACTGTTTGTAAACCATCTCCTTCGTCACGGATACGATCTCTGTTTATCAATATTGAAAATGCCGACCTTGATCTATACCGTGACTTTAAGGTGTTCAGGAACCAAATCAAAGTGCTCGTTGCCGAACTTTATGTATTGTTTGTTTGTTAGATTGTGTTTAAAACCTGCAACTGTGTTTTTCTTTTTTTTTTCTGCTGATATTTAGATAGTTGTGCACCAAAGAGGAGACCTGCATGCTTGTTTTCGGGTACATAAAATAAACTAAATAAAGTAAGAAAATCAAAGTAATATATATCAGAACTCATTTATAAATTAAAAAATATATATGTATATAAGAATTCATTTATAAATTAAAATTAATATTCACAATTAATTTATAAATTGTATACTCCAGAACTGAAGGGCCTTAATATTCCTAAAGGAACAGTGCCGTTTCTTTACCATTGGTATTTAACATAGATATCTCAATCGGTGCCGCACTGTGTTTTTCTTTTCTTTCTCCTTTTTTTTTTCCTCGCTTTTTTCCTCTTTTTTGGGGGTTGCTGTATTTGTATTTTAAGTGCCTCTTCTTCTTTTACCTTATCTTGCTTGTCAGATGTCGCTATGTGTTCTATGTTTGTTTTGTGAGTTCTTTTTGGGATACCCATGTTTTCTCTGTGCTTATACTTTTTATCTTGTTAGCATTTGCTGTGAAGCACACAAAAGGCCCTGTGCTGTCTTTGGACACATAAAATAAAGACTATTATTATTATTATATTATTACGACTCGAGCAAATATTTTAACAAATATCAACAAAAATAATACACCAGCTATTCATGGCTTCACGCCAACCACATGTCCCAAAACTGGTTTTACCTAGAATAATTATTAATAATTTATTTTAACAATCTAAAATAAATAGGGGCGCTAAAATTTACGTTTATAGAAAACTGCGCGGGGCCGCACCTAGTGCAACGTGTTGCATATTTCTGCTGCGGTCTGTGGTAGCCGTGGCGACGGACGTTGTACTCTTTAGGCACAGCGAGGGACTCGCGACACACAAGGCAAATGCACTTCGATGCATTCTCAATAAAGAAGTACCTCTATGTCTACTCGTGATTGATCTTCCGGCCCTCCGGACCGATTTTCCTCTTCTTTGGAAGAAAACTCATATTCCATGAGCAACAAGCGTCTTTCCACGAACGCAGGGACCCAACTGGTATTTGTTTTTTTCTTTTTTGCATTGTACTGGCATTGTTCGTGTGGATGGATAGATGGATGGATGTTAATGGCTATACCCTTTCAAACGGGCGGTAGCTTGCGCCACCAAGCCTATGTCTAAAAAATGACCGTATCTTCACGTGGTGAATGATGTTGATTGGGGCGAAGCTGTGGTGGTGCTGATGATACTGATCTTGTTCATAGGTAGTACTGATGGTGCTGATTTTTTTATTGCTCTTAGGTAGTGCTGAGTTCCGGTTGCGTTTTGATTTCATTATTACTGCTTTATGGTCGGTGAAATGCAGAGCCAGTGGTTCTTCCAGCCAATCAGCTTGGATCCGCTAGAAGCCGTGAGAAAGCATCTCCACTGTTTAAGTCAACGGTCCATGTAAGAAAGAAAATGTGTGGTACAGAACGTGGTTATATACGCATCTGAATATTTGATCGCAGCGCCCTCTCGTCTATAAACGTTGAGCCAATGGATGCAAAGTTTAACGCGGTTATATACACATTTGATCACAGTGCCCTCTCCTGTATAGACGTTGAGCGGCTACATGCAACGTCTCATCTATGACATCCCCAGCTCTTGAGTTACTACCACATTTCAGATCCCCTACTCATCCCAAAGTCGTGGCCGAGTGGTTAAGGCGATGGACTAGAAATCCATTGGGGTCTCCCCGCACAGCTTCGAATCCTGTCGACTGCGCAAACATATGATTCCTCCAGCCCTCCTAAGCCGATTTTCCCCCTAACTATCCCAACAGAAAGGCAGAGGGCTAATAGCCTCCGTGGTGAAAGAGGGAAGGGAATCTGCTGAGACAAAGCAAGAAGTTTTCGCGTTGTAGATACATGTTGAGACACAACCGCACCATAGACATGGACGGCTGCACACGCTGTTTTATTGTTGACAGCGGGATTACTAAAGAGAAAAAAAAATGTACTGAGAATTCGTGTATCCTTTGCCGAAGACTGAGAAAAGTAAGTCCGAGGTTTTCACTGCTGCTTGCCAAGCGGAGCGGGCGCTCGAGGAATTGAGTAGAATTGAGTAGCAACTTTCTGCACCGAGCCGGGCACGAGTTTATAAGGGCCGCAGGCCCTTATAAAGTCGTGCTTGAGCCGCATGCGGCCCGCAGCCGTAGGTTGTGCACCCCTGATCTAGAATAATGTTGTGACTCGTTTTAACGGTGCTTTTCAGACATATTAAACGTTCTCGTGAAGTTTAGTCGCAAGATATTTTGCGTAATTGTATCTTCTTCCCCGCCGGTCCTTGCAAACTTTCTCTTTCTAAAAAGCAAAATGAGAAATTAATATCACTAGGTTCAAACAACCCTACCTCCTTACATGGATTTGTGTGCATAGAAAATTAAGAGTTAGATAAACCTAAATTTCATGCTGGGGCTGTTGGCAGATTGAAATATGCTGTTTCACCAAAATACTCTATCATTCCGCACAAAACTTTGAGAAATATCTATGAGCTTTTCATTTGCACGAGAGAGTAGAAGAAATTAATTTAATTTTCATTTCAGATATTTTTTATGTTAATAAATTGTATGTTAATAAATCGGACATGTGTAGGAGTATCCTCATATATTAAACATAACATCTCGTTTACGGATCAGCCTTACTTTATTTAAATATATATAAATCGAAGCCAGCGAATACTCTAACAAGATTCTGATAATTAATTAATAGGCATATAAGTGACGACGACAACGATTCGCACCTTCAAATAGAAGTTGAAACATGGTCTTTTTTCTAAAAATACGGATCTATATGTTAAAAGCATATATTACATTTTTATTGGAAGTTCTAGACCATATTGATGGCTCTTCGTACAAAAAGAAAACATAAAATTATTTTAAAATGTTTTTTTAACAAAAATTGACGTTGAAATTTGTTCTTTTAGAGTTTCCTTTTGCATTCAAAAGCCTTTTTCGCCAAAATAACTTTATTTGATTATAACGATATTGTGCATGGTAAATACGTATTTGTTTAATCTTTATTTGACATATAATTTATGTCATAATATTGATTGTTACAGAAGTTATCGTCATTCAAACCTTGTAAATTATCGTAAAATGAGCCAGGTTCCAGATTAGAAACCATGATTGCGCTTTAGATGTTGTAAAAAACAAATAAAACCACAAAAAACCTTTATGAATATTTGTGATTTTAACGTAGTTCTGAAGGCCGTGTAAAGAGCAGACTTAAGAAGTAATCCGTTACAAGTAACGGATTACATGTAATATGTTACTTTTTCAAGTACTTTTGTAATTGCCACGTTACTTTTTTTCGGAAGTAATTTGTAAAGTAATTTCGTCACAAAAATTTTGGTAACGAATTAACCTAATTACTCGTTACGTTTTAAAAAAATATGAGCATAATACAGTAACTGGAGCAATACTAGCAGAACATCCAGCAGCATAAAACGAGCAAGTTATACAAAATAGAAAACATCAGGAAGGGGAGAATAGCTTAAAAACAAGCAAAATTTTTTGTATGACCGGTCATTACAATCACTAGAAAAACGCGCAAGGCATGTACAAATATACGAAAGACAAAGATCAAGTAAGACAACGCTGAGTAGGCTCTCCGTCGCCTTCCATCGTGTTTTTTTTTTTTTTTCTTCTCCCGGGCAGGAGAATGCTGTTCGTGTTTGTTTTGTCTTTTACACCGTTTCACCCTTTCCAACATCTTCGACGTCTCCCGTCACCTGCCACCTTCTCCCCAGTGGCTGAGACCACTGGGGAGCAGGACCGCGGGCGCAGAGATGCGCTCCGATGAAAAATTGAAACCTAAAAACGCGGCTTAATTGAGCGTTTTTACGGAGCACCGTAACATACTGCCCTTGCGTTATATCCTTCTAAAAAAAGTTGATTCTTGGGTTTTCGAGGATGCTGAACAAGTTTCTAATTGGAACCACACGTCTATTCTCATTATTTGAAACGTTAATTAACAAATCTTAATTAATCAGCCGACTGATCGCTATGGCTAGCCCACTACTCTGTCCCCTTGACCGTATAACTCACCTGCACAAACCGCATTAGTGTAACTTTCACGGCTTTTTTTGAACAAATCTGTTAATTGATACTCTTTGAAACATTATGTTGTTTTTTCTTCAAACTTGAAATTAAATTGCCCGTTTGTTGCCACGTGATCTGAAGTCACATGACCTATACTCGCGAAATTCGAAGTAACAGAAAAATTGATGTCACGTGACCTTATACACAGTGGCGTACCAACGTGGTTTTGAGTGAGGGGGCAAACCAGACCCCCCCCCCCCCCCCCCCCGCCAAACCGGTGTTAGACGAAACTAAGAACGATAACTACGAAGCAAACTTGGATCATTTTTATTTCTTAGATTTGTTTACAGCACAAACCCGGCAAAGTGCGAAAGCTTGCTCCCCGGTAATTAGTCAACATTCACTCCACACCTAAAGAATCTCATATTCGCACTCGCTTTGCAGTCGCGCGTTATTACACACACTCGTTTCACATATGCACTTAACAACCCTTTTTTTTTTTGACAGCGGTATTTTATTTTGTCTTCTCGTTTCACTTAAATAACACGGTTGACAATGCATACACACATCACTTACGTTAGTTAATGAATCGTAATAAATAAGTGCGAAAACTCGAGTCACAAACTATTGTACAACATATCGTCCGTCTCCTCAACTGGAGAAAGAAGAGTGTTAACGAGACCACAGTGGACGTTTTCTAGTTTATGCGACTACTAGCGGGCGTTTAGAAACTTGGTAGAAATAAAAAAAAAACGAAGTCGGTGGAATAAATAAAATAGTGCAAGTTCGAAGGCTTCAATAGTTTATCTAGTAAAAAATTCCACGTTCAAGGCATCGGGGTGAGCTCCAAACTTTTGCAGTTACAGGCCTCATCAGTATTGGTTGTGAAGCTTTGTAACTTCCCTTGGACGCATATGTGAATGGTGGCACGACAGTTTACGAGCTTAAAAAACAATTAACCTTCAACGGCAATGCTCAACAGTGTTTTCATACAGCATCCTGAAAAGACACGAAACAATCACCACCTGAAGTTATTTGTTTTAGAATTCCGCACTACACAATAGTTTTTTTTATCTCTTTCTTATTTTAACATAGCAGGAGTTTTATTAAATTGTATGTAAAATGTCAATAAATAAGCATCTGTACGCACTTGAGAGGAAAAACTTCTACAAATCTCGTTGTGGTGACCTACACCTCGAAAAATGGAATGACTCCATGCATTCAAAAACCTCTATTAACAGAACATCGAGGCCTCTGGGAGTCTTTGAAGAGGTCCCTTTCCAACTTCTCTCAACCAAGTTCGTGTGCCTTATTAATTTTTGTTTTTATTCGTATACCCACAGCAGCCTGCACGAGCCTTTCAGCTACACGGCAGGAAACTTTCTCTTAGTATTATAATTGTGACTCGAAGTTTGAGTTGAAAGTAAAAGTGCGAACAAGTGCGAATTGACGCAAACATTTTGAAAAGCCGTCCTTGATACAGCCAGACGTTGGAAGGATGCGTGATTTAGCGACCTTCTACGCTGTAGGGAACGATCGATGTTAAGGTGCTTCGTACTGGTGATCCGTGAAATAGGCCTTTCGTGTTATGAGGGATGTTCTTGTATATGATGAATATACGGAGCGTTTACCAACCAGCCGAGCTTACAAAAACCTTACAAGACATTCTGGATTTACTAATAATACTCCTATACTAGAGGTTGCACGAACAATGATATGATCGAGTCCAGATGCCTAAATGAGAGGCTTTGGGGAAGCGCGTTCGAGAAGAGGGGCCGTCGCTGTCATCAATTTGTATCTAGTATGAGTTACACAGTCGTTTTGACGGCGCGTTTTAGAGTGCCATTTTGCCCCCATAAGCGGATATAAAAAAGGGCGGCTTTGCTAGTCAGTACTATGGGGCATTCTTGTTCAGTGCTAGACGTTGCTGAACAAACAGTGAGAACAGTCTCCTTGATAGCTGCTATCTGCGAATTTATGCGATATAATCGAGCGCACGCCTGTTTGCAAGTACACGAGAAAGGTGACGGTACTGTCGCTGTATATTTAAGGCACTCAAACTCGGCGCTTTAGTGAACTGTCAGTAATGATTTCTATATAGCCTAGCTGTGCAAGTTATGTCTGCAATCTCAAGATAACGATGATCTGTCATACGTCATTTTTGTCAGAACACTTTTTCTTTCTCTCTCTACAGTACACGCATACATTGAGATTTGAGCGTTTATCAAAGTCTGTCGAACAGAAAATTGACGCGTAAAAAAACTAAAACAAAAAAGAAGAAAAAATTACTTGGACGTGCGTACGATTTACTGCCACAAGCTCTGGGGTAGTTGCACGACGTTGCGAGGAAAATTGTGTGAGATGAAAAAAATAACAAAAAACAAAACACTGAACAAGGGCGGTGCTAGTTAGATGCCAGCTGTGTTCGCCCATTTCGCCAGGCTGAGCAAAGCGCTCCAACCTCATAGCTTCCTCCTGCACAGTACACGTACTCTAGTCAAACCCTCAGTACTATATGTTCACAAATACCGATGATCAATTCAAATACTCTATACAAGAACAACATAAAATATCTGACAGACAATTAGGATGCACATTTATTCGAAGAATTTTTTTACTAAGTGATTGGAACATAAAGGAACATGCTGGGTTTATAGGTACACGCGCAGAATGTATTGGTACCATCTTTAAAAAATATTTGAAGTAAAATACTAAAATAAAGCGACGTGGGATACCCGCACAGAGTGCTATTTTTAGATTTTTCCTTAAATATTTTACTTTTCGCCAAAATAACCATGTGCAGAGCATGTAACTACAAGACCAGCATGCTGCATTAGATTTCAAGAATTTCACAAAATGTATTTTGTTCTTTTGGTGGTGGTGAACCAAATGCCGTCTCACTGAGATTACCGCGAGAAATGTAGATCGTTAAAACCTAAGACTTAGATTAATGATTTCAAAAACCAAGATTACATTCGTCCATCCTTGAAGCATATAACATGTCAACTCTGAAAGGCTTTGTGTCGTAATCGGTTCATTGATCTCTTAGACGTCGAGATATATAGTACCTTTGATTTCCGCGCAGTTCCAGCCGATGGTAAACACTTACGCGAACAACTCCAAGAAGAACAGATTAGCACAGCCGTCCAGCGGTTCGCTCCGACAACATTCCGGACGAATACTTTTGTGGTCCCTGAGGAACACTGTTCGAATGAACCTACGGTCGTTGACGCCAGTTGTTCCGTCGAACCTACCACACAATTTGATAAAGCATGATAATAAAGGCACAAATAACTCGATTTAAAGAAAGATGACTTTGATCGTTTTCGTTTACCGTATAGAGGTTGATGAATGCAGTCCCTTCGAACCCCCCAGCATACCGTTCTGAGGCTTGAGACTAAAGGCGCGGATTAACCGACCTTAATACAGGCGATCCTGCCCTAGGGTAAAAGTAAACTGACTTTATAGAAGTCGATGCAGCTTTATACCTTCCGCACACCAACATGGGGGCTAAGGGCCCACGGGTGTAGGCAGCTTTAACGAGGACGACTTTCCCGTAGTCTTGGACAAACAACAACCGATAACTCAGATGGACCTGTACAGCAGGATTGTCATGTCCCTGTAGGCCATGCGCACGTAGCACTGCTTGGAATGTGTGACGCAGCTTCCCCAGTTGCGACCGACGACGCAGTGCCACGTGGGCTGGAACATTTGGTCGAAGTCCTGCTTGATACTCTCGGCCACGTGCTTCTCGGTCGAGTAGAGTTTGACCGCCTGGTTGGCGGACTCGACGGCGGCCCTCTGCATCTCCTGCGGCATGTCGGCCGCCTGGATCTTGACCTCGGGGCAGTCGTCGCCGCCGCCGCCGCAGATGGTCGACGCCGTGGGGCTCAGGCAGGTGAGCCGGGCAGCTCCGACGCCGCCGCCCAAGATGCCGCCACGCTCGGATCCCGGAGGACGTCCATTGACATAGAAGGAAGACTTTCGAACTTGTTGCCTGTGTAGGGCACAAAGCAAGATGACAGAAATGGCGGTTACTTACAAGGATGAAAACGACTAACCTGTTTGTCTTGACTTACATACTTCGCGAAAAAGTAATGTGTGGCAATAGAAAGAAGAAAAAAAGGGACTCCCTAGAGGGCGCTTCTTGAAATGGAATGTCTCTCATGCAGCATTTTCTTTTGGAGGATGCCATTCCTCAAACACGCCAACCCCTGGAGAACGATGATGTTGGGTAAAACGCATTTCCTGAGCATGCCAGAGATAATAAAGATATTTGGAGAAAACAATTGATGACCCCTCTCTTAAGACAGTAATACGTTCTGACTAATAGGAAGACATACCATACAGGACATCTGCCGTAAAAGCGAGACCATAAATCGTGCAAGTCTTAAGCGCCAGACGAATGCGCGAAGAAACGTCTGACAGGTCGTACGATGCGTCGGAAAGATGGCCGCATCCGACCTGATGCCGTAATCGGTCGGCATCTCGTCGGATTCGATCGTCTTTCCGATGTGTCGTACAACCCATCAGACGTTGTTGTTTATTGCGTGCATGTGTCTAGTCAACATTGCATGTGACAGCCAAGTTGGCTCAAACGCTGTTCAAGTTTCAGATGTCTGAACTCAGTTCATTATCACATGAGCGCTCGCTCAAAGAAGGCAATCACAATTTAAGGACGTCTTTCACACAGCGCTCCGCGAGGTCTTGGCGTTCGCGTGCGGTCATAGAGGAGCTGTGAATAAAGTAACTTGCCATCCCTCAAAAGCAGCAACAGATATGTGAAATAAAGATGGTAGAAACTCGCTGCCTACAGGCACTCAACTGCTTACACTCGGCTCTAACAATATGTCTATTCCGTTGCACTTATAGCGCGCTGTCATATTTCCCTGTAAAATTTGATAGCGCGTGCACCTCAAGACGACCTCAAGGTTTAAGGCTTACCCTTTTGCACCTGGCGTGCACTGATAATGAAACGGTGTGTTGTACAACGTGAAGCGCTTTGCTTACGTTGCTTAAAACCGTACTGCTAAATCAAACTCTGTTTTTTTTTTCTCTCTTTTTAACAGCGTTAGCTGTAGTAGGACATTTCGCGGTTTCGCGTTGTCGACCGCGCTCCATGGCCACAAGGGCCATTTCCGGCACTCCTAAAAAGACAAAAACAAAAAAATCATTCCACGGGCCGCTTATAACAAGTAAGTAAGATATCATGCTTGATTATGCATGGTGGCACGATAACATGCAAGGTCAGTAAAACAGTCCCCGCCGGGCAATGTGGCAATGCACATGCACTGGGATAGGGGTTCATGTGACTCAGAATTAGCACAAACAACAATTCTCATGAGTAAAAAAAAGATAGAACTCCCTTAAGAGTTTTACGATGCACTCTGTATCAGAAAGCAAGGGGTACGCAAGTGCTTTATAGCCCGGTCAATGCACCTGAGAAAGACAGTTTTATTTTCTAAACAAATAGCCAGAAAGATGATATTAATAGTGCGTTTTTGTTTCACTATACCTTCAGTTGAGAGAGAACTTCGTCTCGACCCCTTTCTTGTCCCTCTTTATTCGGCGCTTTTGTTTGGCACGGGAGACTATTTTTACCAAAGTGACGTACAAAAACACGATCCCCTTTTACGGAGACGGCTGAAATGCTCTCTTTTCTGCTTAATACACCCTTATTGGTTCCAAAACATTATGAATTTTTCGTCCGGTGTGTATCTCGGTTTAATACGAAACGTCTATGCGGACTCCATGGCGCGCGTTCGCACATTTGGCGTTAATTCACTCCATCTGCTCCGAAATTACACCCAAGCTGTCGCTGTGTTTCACCTTACAAACCGCATATGGCTTTTCTTTTCTTTTTTTCCGTTGCGTAACAACAATTTTATAGCATAGAAATCTCAAACGAATTAAGTACTATTATTTCTTGACCGAGAGTGCGGTACAGGGAAAAGAAAAATCACGCGATGTTTAATCCTTTTTTTTTTTTTCGTTTCTGCAGCAGTTACGGGTTGTTGTTAGTGCAATCGCAGCGTTGATTTATTTTGAACACATAAATTTATACGTGAGTTTTCCTGAAGATTGGAAAGATGGATGCATGGATGGATGCTAACGGCTGTACCCTTTATAATTTCTGGGCTAGATAGCTTGCGCCATCTAGCCTAGATATTAAAAACCAAAAGTATGATTGCTTCCTTCACCCTTTTAAGCCCATTTGCTTCCCCTCTGAAATTCCGTAACTATCACCAGGCGGTGTGGGATATCACCGGGATGACCTTTAGGGGATTGGGGAAAAAAAACTAGAAACATCCCCCCGGCCTCCTTTCCCTAGTGAGGGAGTCACCAATTTCCCTGTGGTCAAACCTTGTCGGCTTTACCTCAGCACCGGGCCCGCTCGGAGAAAAGGTTGACATTTGAACCATTCGGGAGAGAGTCCCAGTTTTCCTCTGTCCCGCCTGTTCCCAGCTGTGTTTGTTGTACGTCATTGATTTCTTCCCAAATAACTTCCACCAGTCTTCTGGTCTCCTCTTTGTTCTTAATATACATTTATCGTCCTTCCATTCTGGTCCGCAAACCCCAGCGCTCCGGCCAAATCGGTCGCCCCTTCCGAAAGGGCGGGAGCAAGCCCTGTGCACCTCAACACCACATGTTCTATTGTCTCGTCATCCCCTTGGCATACGGCACACCGCGTATCCATTTCCTCATGTTTTGTCCTGTATGTCCTAGCCCTCAATACTCCTGTTCTAGCCTCAAATAACAAGGAGCTCCTTCGTGAATAATCATACCAATGTTCCTCCCTTATTTTCTGTTTTAGTCCCTTATACATAGTTAAAGCTGATTTCTCCTGCATTGTTTCCTTCCCCATTTTCGTCTCGGCTGGTTTTATTTTATTTTTCACGGAGATGGTCTGCTCTGGCCCAGCACTTGACTTTTGGTATTTGAATTTCAGTTTTCAGGTTCGGTTTCTCCATTTAGTGTTGACTTTTCATATATAGATGCTTATATACCTTTCTCACCTATCGTGTATCCTTAGTTGTGTCTAGCCTTTGCTCAAATTTCAACTTACTGATCGCCTCTCTAACATCGAAAGGTGCCCAGCCCATGTCTCCCTGCACTCCTTCTTTTCGTGTATTCCCATGCGACCCCCAGTGCCAGTCTGCCCACACTCCTGTGTCGGGTCTCTAAACTCGACTGCACCTGAGATTTCATGAATGATACCGCACTGCCAAAGGACAACCCGGCTCCATGACTACTTTCTATATTTCCCTAACAACTTCATTTCTATTTTAATTCTATATCGCCCTATGCTTCGTAATTTCTGCATTCCTTTTTTCCCTTTCTTTAGCATAATTTATTTCTGTTCCTCTAAGTTTTGTTTTCCCTCATTCAGCCATACTCCCAGGTATTAAATTCTGTACGTATTCTCCTAACATGTTTTGAATTTTGAACAGGTCCCCCGTCTCATCGTTATAAACCATTCCCTACTTGTCGCTCTCTCTTTTTTTTACTGAACTTGAAGCCCAGAGGGTCTCGTTCCTCTGCACAGCTCTTAATAAGCTCCTCTAACCTATTTCGGCTATCTGCTAACAGTACAGTGCCGTCTCCGTAAAACATTCCTGGTATAACTTGATTTACTTTTTCCCCTCTCTCCACATATGACACATCAAAACCCAAATTGCACTCTTCTCATTTCTTTTTCAATCTACTCGGATATATCATAAAAAGCAGAGGCGATAGGACGCAACCCTGCCTCAGTCCTTTTTTTTTTTTTTTCTGTCGGTTATGTTATTTCTGTTTTCCATGTTATAACAATCATTTTTTTGCACACCTGTCGTAAAAGCCCAATCGCATGTGCATCTAAATTATACTCTCTAAGCTGTACCCAGAGTTTTTCTGACTCACATTGTCGTTAATGTCTAAAAATGCTATCCGTAACGTTTTTTTTTTTTTTTTTTTTTTTTACTCATTCGCCAGATACTCTGAATCTACGTTCGTATAGAAAAAACTTTCCGATGTAGTAATGTAGTATGCCCCTTGGCACAGAACACAAAATAACCACGTACAACATCATACTCATATGTCACAACGAAAATTTACTGAGCAATTTAAAAAACACTTTTTTTTTCAATGTCCTTAATTGCAGTCTTTTTCAGCAAATTGAAGAGCTTGTACTTTCATGTTTTCCGCGGGAGATAAACGCGAGGGAATTTTATTGTGTGTAACGAACAATAAAAATGAAGTTTCTCGGCATTTTGAAAGCCCTAGAAGTATAGTAGAGGTTTCATCAATTCTGTGGCTTATGAGGGGCGTCATATACTTACATAGGAGGCACCATGGGCTTGGGCACGTAATCCTCGACGTCCTTCAACCTCTCCAGTCGCTCGGAAAAATAGTCGGCGTTGTTCGAAAACTCTGCAAGACAGACGAATAAAAAGCGTCATACACCAGCTACAAGTTCAAGGATCTCTTTCAACGACAAGTACTGGTTGACAGTGAGAAGTTTTCGCGCGTGTACCGTCCCGCTATGCACTCCAAAGGCAAATTATTGGTATTCCTGAATCTGGTTAGACAAAGAGAAGTGCGAACAGTATTGCTCCCCCAGTCTTCATGGTTGTTGGAGCATAATGCCGATCACCCTCCTCATTAACTCAGCTGAAAGAAGAAGAAAAAATGATTGGTGCTTTGAGTGTACGGCGGGACAGCATACATGCAGCAGCTCCTGAGAGTGAATGACCCAAAGGAAGCCAGCCGCAGCCGATGCCAGATTCGCCTATTTAGGGTTCTCAAATCTCAAATTATTTTATACTCTAGAAGAGGAACCAAAATTGAAGTCCCTTTATATACACGTTTGCAAGTCTGACTTCAAGTCGCTGCCATCTTGCTGGGTTGGGGTGCGCTAGGACGCGCCATAATCCGATTACAAAGCCTTGCTAAGGCGTCGTGATCGGATTATGGCCGCGCCCAAGCGCACCCCACTGAGCAAGATGGCGGCGCCCAAAGGCCGTATTTTCGCAGGCGTCTATACTCGCGGAACGAACGGGGGTAGGAGTAATCACTCGCCTTTTTGAAATGCACTTAGTGCCCCATTCTTGGCCTTCTTGTAGAATGAAATGACGCAGGCAACACTATATATCTGTAGAAAACAAAAAAAAAAGAGAAGGAAAAAGAAGAGCATCGGACCAATCAATAATTTGCCGCAAACTGCTACCACAACGGACCATCGGTCGTTACACACATTCACCCACTGCCCGTAAAAATCAACGGTAAAATTTAAAAAAAAGCGTCTGGCTATACTAGTGACACGACGATAAAACCCCACACCACCCTTGCTTTATGGCACCATAACAAACACGAGAGCGTCAATGCCATTTTTATTGCCTCGGTCGTATAAGTCAGCTTTTTTCTTTTTTTTTTTCTTTTGCTTTTGTGTAGGAGGGAAGGATGAGTTAGTTTGTGGAACTGGTGCATGAAGATCTAGCTGCATATTCGGTATATTACACACTAAAAAAAGTGTGTGAGCACCTCCCTGCAGAACACGAAGACAACCAACACGGGAAACGACAGAAGGATCCCCAGGGGATGGCGAACCTCAGGATACAAAGTAGTAAAAAAAAGGATATGCGTGAGGCAACGAGCAAGTTAAACGGCATGCTTACTGTCCCTGCGAGACCCTCCCTTCATCCCCCCTCCCCTTCCCGCATATCAGGGCCTAATCGTATTCTGAGCCCTGTCATTCACTTAGATTTTTCTGTTGTTCGAGGTGATTGGCTCCACAAATGTCCAGGAGACAACTGTACCCGCGAATGTTTCTTTTAGAATGTAGGGTGGTGTCGGGTTCATCCACCGTAAGCAACACTCCCCCAAGTTTATAAGCGGAAAGGATACGTAATGCCGCAGTAATTATTTTTTTAGAAACTCGTTTTGTTTTCTTTCTTTGAGGCAATCGGGTTCCTTCTGTGGGTTGAAAGTTGGGTTACTTGTAGGTGTTCCATGTTTTCGCTATGTACCGATAAACACCGAAAATTAAACACCGAGGTGATTTTCTTTAAATCGGTGAAAACCGGAAAACCCCGAATTTGAGCTGTTCCCAAAGAAAAAAAAAAGAAAAAAAGAACGGAAGTTTCACGGGAAGAAATTTTCTACCCTACTTTATTTTTTCCTCGTTGACACGAAACGCAGCCGCAATGACTGTCATTAGAGTTCTTTCTTTCTATCGAAGTAACAGTTCTTGCCCCGTTCCCTTCCCTTATTTTTACCAGCATTACTGGAGAAAATACTATAATTTAGAAATTAAAATTATAATATTTGTACTCGTAATTATACAGCCGCCTTACAGCACAAGCCCAATAAACACCGATTTTTTGTCGGTATTGAAATTAGACACCAGACAACACCGATTCAAAAGTAAACAAAATAAACACCGATGAATAACTCCCAAAGTTGAATAAAAATGAATAGCGAAAATGCGGAACCCTAGTTATTTTGTATGTGTCGAGCATAAGCAAACACTGCTCTTTTCCCGAAGTTCTTCACCGACAGTTCAAGTTAAGCTGTGCAATGAGGAAGGGTACGTATGTCACATTAAGATGTCTTGCACGTTACACCTACAGGCAGATCCTACCTTATAAGAGGAACGCGTAAGTTCATCTTGTAAACTTGCCAACTCAAGTAAGTTCTTACGCACGACACTATATGCAAAAAGATTGCATTTTGAATATATATATATGTATTCTTTTTTAATTACGCTTTGGCCGATTATTAAAAAACCAGAAGTCCCTTCTTTTTTTTTTCGCAAATTTATACGGTTTTGAAAATTATTCTTGGAGAACAGGGGCCACGAGTCAGCGCGTGCTTCCCAAAACACCTATCATAGCATTTTTTTTTTATGCCAACATTTGTTATATGCGAGGTTTCGCGGCACATTTCCGTGTGTGATTAGTGTTGGGTCGTCATGGTACGTGACGTCGGAGTGACACAGGGCATCACAGTGTCACATGACTTTGATATGTAGCGGCCATATATGCCTGTATGTAGCCAATGTAATGTCGAGCTTAGAGTGCAATGTGCAGCGTCACATTTGTCGTCGCAGTTCAGTCGCAGGACACGCAAGGAATCGGAATGTTTTTTCCTTTAGATTTCAACAGCTTCGCCATGGCAGTTTTCATGACTATTTTAGTTTTTAGCGGGTCGTAGCCACCGACAGGAGGCATCGGACGAACAGCTCTGTCAGCCTCTCTGCGATAACACCATCAACTGAGAGTCACAGATAACTGAAAACAAAAATCTAAATTTACTTTTGCGTCACCTTAGACGCATGAACGCGAAGCGGCATTGCGTACGGTGACGAGATGATGCACTCACCCGGAGTCCCGTGAGGAACCCGACCACGATGGACACCAACACGTCGGTGGTACCACAGCTGGACTGTAAGCATACAAGTTCGCGTTACTGGGTCGCAAGTATATCCGTCCCTCGCTGAAATAGTAACTATACGTTACTTCTTACTGAGTCACCAATGTAACGCTTTATTTCACCCTGAGAAGTAGCTTATTGTTTTTCTCCCTACTTTCCAAGTGCTATGAAAGCGTCAGGCACATGCATAACGAAACGGCCCGCGTCGGGCCTGGACTTTTTGAGATCGGGACCTTGGAGTTGCTTTCCTTCGTGTCCTACGACCCGTAGGGCGTTTCCTTAACTGCTGGGTGAAAAACCTCGTTGCTTTTACTGGCTCCCGGGAGTGCAGTGGCGAGATTATTACGGAAGTCTGACAAATTTGACGTACACAGGGAATAAGCGCTGACATACTATGCAACGTTATATATTATTGTACTCATTATTTATGTTTCTTCTTCGTTTTCGCGCTTTAAAATTGTGACGCTAGCAATGAAAATAGATGCCCAACTCTTAAAAAAAAAACTAAGTATTTTTTTAGTTACTCAGTTAAAAAGTGCCTCAATTGCTTTACGCTATCCATTTTGAGAAGTAACGCTCTTGCATTGTAACTAAAGAAAAAAACATCTAAACGACTAGGCCGGAATTTGTGGAGCAAAAAAGCGGCGAATTTCGCCCGGCGACGTTCGCTTTCCGTGTGGAGCTCGATCAGCGGTAGTTGCAAAGCTCTCATGCTAACGAATATGCGGCGAAGTTCGCCCGTTGTTCGCCGCATATTCGCTCCGTGGAGTTCGACCCTTCGATACGACAAAAATGAAAAAAAAAACAAAAAACGCGAGGCAACGTTTAGCTCGATTTAACGCCACATGAATGGGAACCGACGCGCAGTCGGCGACTTTCGAGCATGTTCGACAACCTATACACCAAGCAATATTCCAGGCACCATCAGAGCGCCCTCACCTTGAGCGTGGTTAGCCGCAACGCCGTGAAAGCCGCGAACTGTTCGGCTTCGGTGATGTACGGTGTGCGCATCGTCATCGGGTACAGTCTGTCGCGCATCACGTACTGGAGAAATAACAAAAACATAACGAATCAGAAACACAAGCAGGTTTATCATTTGCACGTAGGTTAGCTGTAGTCACAGTCGGTTTAAGGAGCGCTGAGCAGGGTTCTTCTAGAGTATATTAATGTCGCTCCACGTCCAGGGGGATTAAGGCCGTAGCTGTTATTAATTAGTACGAAAAAAAAGAAGCCTGAAACGCGAGCATATCAAGCGAGACGCAGTTGTCAGGTGAAGAAGAGTCACTTTAAGATGTTACCAGGATGCTGCGCTCCCTAGAAATCATTAGGTTAACAATGAGTGGTCTCGGAAATTTTTTTCTGTAAGACGACGACGCAGTAAGGGTGTCTCGTTCTTTCAACGGAACACAAAATGTGCTTTCAATAGTCTTCTGTTTGAACTAGCCGTCTAGTTCAAGCAGAAGACTTTCGCAGCATATTTAGAAGTAGCTCGGTTATATTCGTGCGTTTTAACGCTCTAACGTTGCATGCGAGAAAACGCCGCGGCCATGTGCTGTGTTGTGAATTGAATTGGACGCTGCGCACATTTCAGTATTTCCTTGATAAGTAACCAGATTAAAATGGACCAAATTTTGACCTTGTCGATATGAGCCAGCGAGACAACCGGTGGCGAGGGGAAATTAGATGTGATATTCTGAAAAACCCTTTTAAGCGACTCTCCTGACAACGAAAGAGGAATGGTTCACAAATTAGACAAGAACGCGCGTCACCGGGCTGCTTTTGATACCAAACAATCTGCTCGTCAGTGAATATTTGGGTTCGCGATCGTAGTCTCTTATTCTGGGAAACGGAAATTTCCGAACTCCAGGGTGTTTTTGAGAGAAGACAACTTGGTTTTTTCTCACCGCGAAAGTAAACTAGGCATCGTCGTACACTCAGTTTCTGTCTAAAACCAGCACTAGTAGTCCGGACCAGATGTCAAAGTTTAATATTAATATCCTACATTTATTTCAAACGTTGTTTACAACTTTGGGGAAATGTTCAATGAGATAATAGGGGCGCGCTCCTGGTAGCTATATCCATTCATCTCCTTGTACTCGCAGGCTCCGTTGGTCGCCATTTCTTATAAAAAAAGATGATTAAAATCGCTTGCAACTTTTCAAATAAATAAGGGTAAGCTCTGAAAGCTTGGCATCTGGTCCCAAACGCTAGTACTGTGTTTGTGGAGAGGCAAGGCGCACGACGTCTCATATATGATTTTTTTGAAGGTGAGAAAAACACGGTTTCCTGTCCTCGCAAATTCGCGGCATAACAATATCCACAGATAGTTCATGCATTGGCGTTGCCAACCGGTGCAAGCGGCTGTGGCGAATGCCAAACACATTATTCTTGTCACGATTTGGTAAGGTTAAAACTTCTTGAAGTTTTGCTGCGTTCTATGTAACAGCAGTTACGTAAACCTAAAACGAAAAATATGACTTATATAACATTTTTTGGTTATCAAGAATTGCTTATAAACAGTATTTAACGACAGGCCTTTGACTATCGGTGTATGTTCCTAGTTTTCACGCTATACAGGGAAAGAAAACCCTGGCAGGGTAACTGGCGGTTTCGTATCCTTACCATGATGATCCTAAGAAGCACAAAACCCGTGCTGGCGGCTATGTCGACGGCCGCGAACACCGAGAGCAGAAGCACTGTACGCAGTGAGACGTTTCCCTGCAAAAAGAAAAGTATACAAACATAAAACAAATCAAAAACTCGGTCGGTACTTGCATGAATATGTCTATCTATGGATTTACAGATATGAGACTCTAATAAAGCTCAAGAACATTCATCACTACACACCAAATATCTGCAAGCACCTGAACAGAACATCGAATGTTTTTTTGTTACTCTCCATTGGGTGCCAGACTGCTGTAGTAAAATATATTTACGCACACTGACACTAACCTGTTCAGTTTTTGCCTTTTTTCTTCTGTTCATTGTTCTTTTTTTCTATTTGAGTCATTTTATATTGCGTGATGAATTTTATTTAAAGTCCCGCACGTAGTCTTTTTGGCAAAAACCCGCCCACCTAATTTACCTCTTTGAGGGTTCTTCTTGCTGCCATTCAAATTCGGTCGACATTATTCAAATTAAAATTATTTTGTTTCAATTGTCACCATTTTAGAAAAAAGAATGGTAGAGAAAAAATCAAGTTATTTGTTGCTTCACGAGCCTCCGCAACTCGCCCCCCCCCCCCCCCCCCCCCACGGTAGCAAAACAGAAAGACACATCATAAGATAAACACGAACGTGTGGCACATTTTGAAAGCAACACAGGAAAAGCGGTATATTACAATGTAGAAAAATACATGAAACATATTCAATCTATTCATAAATCAACTATTTACGGCACCTGTGAGAAAAACCTTTAGAGAAATAATGAAGATGACTTCTTCGGCTACTCACTCAATATATTTGTGTTAAGTCCACAAAAACAATTTAGAAACCGGGGCAGAGTAGATGTTAACATCTGATTACCACAGTTGGTTCTGGAGTGCGGCACTAGCCAAGGGGGCTAGGTTCGACAAATGTTTTGTTTCTCCTAAAAAGCGACGGAAGTGTTGATATCGTGTCCGATTGGCTAGAGGCTCAAATGACGAAAAAGGAAACGTTTCGTAATTTGAGCCTCTAACCAATCAGACGCGATAGCGTCACTTGCGTCACTTCCGTTTCTTTTTCGAGGAAACGAAACATTTGTCGAACATAGCCCCCACGTTTCGGCACCGCGAGTTTTATAAACTGATTCCCTGATTCTCTGGCTTCCTGTTAAAAAAACTGTTTGGCAAACATATTCATACTGTCTCAAATATCTTTTATAGGATATATCAAGCTTGTCATTACATTAATTTGGTATTTCTACAATATTGAACCTATTAAGCAACGGCTGTACACGACTATCGTATGTTGCGTCACATATAGTACGAATTACTTTTTCCGCAGAGTATATATTTGTCTAACATTTGTAGAGGTTGTATTTCCTTAGACTAAGAAGCAATGGTTGCAGTGCGAGCAGAAAAAAAACTTTGTATAAAAGAAGCATAAGAGAGGTTGGGAGCATACACCGATATTTATATACAATGCCCACAACCCTCGACAGTTTGTTACATATTGTTGCACAGTTTCGTCACAGACCATCTACTGATAAATATCATACTTAGCACGTTTATGCTATCTACCGTCTAGATCATTTATACCGAGAGAAATGTTGGATGAATACGTACAGTTTGTATTTCGTGGTCTGAATAAAACTGCCTTTGTTTTATCGACATTGATTTGCAAATAATTAGATATCGTCCAAGCATTCATATTTTTAAGAATTGATTAACCCTACGCATAATTTGATCAGCATCACTGAAAAAAAATTACTTTGGTGTCATCTGCAATGTCTTTATAATTTACATTATAATCAATATTTACAATGTCGTTTATATGTAGGTTAAAAAGAAGTGGTCCCAGTATACCACCTTGCAGTACACTAGCTGTGAGTGGCTTAAATCTGATCGTTTATTATTAATTTCTACGCACTGATAACTGCTTTAAGATAACTTTTGATCATATTTAGTGCTTGTTAAGTATCTAGAAATCCGGCTTATTAATTAAGCTGATTTTTGTTAGAAACGTCGATCGTTCCAAAATTGCGTCGGCATTTTTTTTTTTTTTTGAGCTTTTTATGTTGGAGTTGGCGTTTATGAGGGAGCATTTGAGGGGGCATCGCGGCCGAGGTAGGAGAGCTTCCCCCGCAGTCGTTAAGAAACGTCTCGGGTTTCGGGAGGCGGTACGGGGAGAACCCGCGCTTGAAGCTGCTTGTGGCTTTTAATCGAATGTGCCTGTGAATAGAGGGTTTCGCCGCTTAGTGTCAAATTGTCGCTTTTTACCCGATGTAATAATTTAGCTGGTGGCGCCAGCCAGACTGCGAAAAATGCAAGGAACGGCTCTAGAAGGAATTTGGTTTTGGCAGTTGGAGCGCCAGGCTGACAGCTCGCCGACCATTCGGTATCAATGTACCTCGTGGGAGTGGTGGAGTTGGAAGGGGCAAAGGAGGCCTCTGCGAGTCTACAAACGGACTGCCAAGAGGATTCTCGGAGATTTGGCTTCGATTCGATTTTAGAGACTGGGGACAAAAGTACGGTGTTTAATTTCGGGGTTTTAACTCACCGTAAAGTTTTTTTTTTTTTTTTTTTTTTTTTTTTTTTTTCATAATGAACGTGGCCACGCTGACCACTATAGAGCCAACAACGTCGCAAAGTGTTCTACGGGATCGAACAACTTTCAGTTTTTTTTTGTTTTTTTTTTCAACTTCCCGGGGGTTATTATCGGGCGGACACAATCATCGGTCGTCACCATCCGAACCAAGAGGCCCCCTCCACCCCCCCCCCCCCCCCCCCCCACGAAGTCGAAGGAATTTGACTGTGCTAAACCGCGAACACCCAAGCTGCATAGCTTTTGAATTAACGTGTCGTGATTAAGGTGCCCGAAAGCTTTAGAAAAATTCAATATAAGCACATCAAGTGTTATCATTCTCCATAGATTTAAAATTAACTCTTATTGCTTCAGTTATGCAAGCTCCATCAAATGACCTTTTCCTAATCCATGCGAACTGGACTTAACAATACAAATTTTTTTAACATAAACTGTGTACTTTTTTTACGTATATATCTATCTAGACATTTAGTAAATATTGGTTGGTTAAAGGAAAATAGGTCGATAATTTTCAAAGCTGTGTTCTTATCCCCTGATTTATATAAAATTGAAACTTTTGCTACTTGCATTTTGTTAGGAAGAATTCTCTCCTTTGATGCTAAATTAAAACTATGCGTCAGGCATGGAAGGATAGATCGTAATACTGTAAAGGACTAAATTTTCGCGAGGACCTAATTTTCTCGAATTTGGCGAATCGCCTACAATTCGCGAAAAATACGTTCCGCGAACAATTCGGGCAATATGTGAACGCTACGGAAGCTACACTCGATACGCGTAAATTAGAACCCCAGAATAATTTCGAATTTTCAGCTTTGGCCCAATTCGCGAAAATTTGAGCCCGCGAAATTTAAGTCGTTTACAGTATATGTTTAATTGGCTTAATTCCTGAAGCTTATAAATATCACTACGTTTGCTATTTTTTCAAATGTTGAAAAACTGAGAAAACATTGTTCTCGTCGGATGGAAAAAAACAGTGCCATTTACGCTCAGCATATATCTGGAAGCTTCCTCACAACATACCCTTTTTAGAGGTTTAGCAAAATATTGATTAAATTGATTTGCTAATGTCACTCCATTTATGTCAACACCATCTTTTTTATTTCAGTAATCTTGTCATTGAAAATCAATTTTAAATAAGCTATTTAATTTCGTCCATAAACATCCGTTCGTTTATCCCCCTTGAAACAAGTTGTTGAAATATGCGTGTTTCGCCTGTCTTAGGGTCTTAGTTAACAAATTTATTTGCACTCTAAAACACGACAAAATAGTGTCGTCTTGTCTATGTACAAATTTGTGATAGACAACTATTTTTAATTTATCATTTGTGATATTTCAGGGGTACAGTATCCCAAGGTTTGCAATATTTAGGGTACTTTTTTTAACTTAGTATGAAGAGCAACCTGTGTCATAATAAACCTTTCGAGAAAAAATCTAAAGGTTTTTTAGCGGACGCACTAGACAGTACTTCACTCCACCCTTTAGAGATAATTTGTTGCTCAAAAGTATTCTTTTTTTTTTTGCGCTGATAATTCTCAAATACTTTTTTCCCTTGTATACGAAGTTTTCTCCCTATTGAACCCGCGGTATTGACAAGCATTTAGATTGGTAAGGGGTCACTGATGGTCTCTCCCTCCACACCTGAGATTACGCATGATTTGCACACATTTGTTAAAAATGGATCCAGCAACGCTTCATGATAAGGTGTAACACGAATAGATTGAAATTACATTTAACAAACCGTATGATTGATATAACGAGAGAAACTCTGGTTGACGTGAAGACGAAGTAAACATTTCTATGTAAATATTGCCACCAAAAAAGAAGGATTTTTTTAACAAATGAACCTCAGAAACGTAAAAAAAATTCAAAGAAATTAGTCAAGCTCCGTCTAGGTGGTCGATAGACAACGAAACCTTGTGTTTGTCCGTCATGTATTCCCCCGCTCCTGAGTTGCCATGTTGGAAAATACAGATTCATTCTGCTGTAAAGTGAGTACCTCGCAGTCACTAAGGACTACCGTAAAATCACTGACCACAAAGCATTTATAATATCTTTGAATATGTATACATACACCTCCTTGTATCAAAGTTTTATTTAAATTAAGAATTCATAACTTTTTAGCCTATTTACTTCCTGTCTTGAATATGACCTTGTTTCAGTTAGCATTATTTTCGCATCGCCCCACTCCTTGGCGTGCGATCTCAAGAAAGAACAAACAACTGGCCGCTTGAAAGTCTGGGAAAAGAACTCCCAGTTTTGATCCGCAAAGTCATTTTATAAACAAGCCTACAAACATCTCAGAACTGTAGCACCACACGTGTATCGATCCTTGTCATGCTGTCGCATACTACCATCATACTTATATTGCATACGTGTAATTCCTAATGCTCCGATCCTCATTTGGCAAGAGGCGGAGCTTTGTTTATAAAAACATAAAAGCCGAGGAGTGCTCCTTTCTTTCCATGACCCAGAAAAAATTTGCGCGTTTGGGCTGAGAGGCTAAATGTCATCATTTTTCTCTGTGGACTCGCCATCGTGGCCTGCTTCGCAGTTATGAAGTTATAACATGCTACACATGTCATCAAGTTAAATCGCCGTTCCGCAGTTTTTGTTGTTGTTGTTTTTCATTTATTTCAACGCTCTTCGTCCTTTGACAAATTCTGTTGGTCGTATCCAGCTAACACTGAAATGCTCTATCACGAGCCCACTAAAAAAAACGCGACCGCTTTATTTCGGTTTGGCGCAACAGATCTAGCCATGGGGATCATACCAGCATCCATATCTGTCATAAGAAAAATTCGGTTATATTTTACACATCTAATTAAAGAAGTGCATTTGGCGCGCCCAAGAGGAGGATGGAGAATTTATTTGGACAACCCTCTGATCTTTTGGCGCGCAGCCAGTTTCTCGGTTGCGCGCCAAAAGATTTATTGAAGCAATAAGTCTCCGCAATCTGACGGAGACTTATTGCTTCCCCGCAATAAGTCTCCGTCAGATTGCGGACATCTCGGTCGAGAGTCGACCTTTCCAACTGTGGATCCTTAGGCCGGCGCTTCCACCCGGAGAAACCAAGTCGGCTTCCAGAAGGCGTCGTAAATATATTGAAGCGGACTAAGAAACAATCCAGTCAGTCATAAAAGTAGTCCATAAATAGAAGACAAGAGCTTACGTCATCCTTGGCCTGCTTAAGCGCAAATGCCATCCACCACCAGCTGAGGATGTAGATGATGACGAAGACCACGCTCAAGGCCAATGTTGTCCGGGCTGAGTTCAGTTCGACTGGAAAAGGACACAACCACGACACGTAAGACGTCAATTGCAGTGACGCAATTAATCCGAATAATTTTAAGCTTAAAGCAACAAAATTCCTTTTTTAACGCAAACAATAATTGTTTTTATCTATTACACTGTGAATATTGCGTTAATATTCATCCACTAACCTACCCAAATGAAGACAATGCCCTCTTTGCTTTCACACTTCTGTCAAACCGGTCATTAGCCTTCTGTTACTATCTGAAATTTATAATTAGCAGTAGAGCGTGTTGGTAACGTGGAAGTAACACAGAAAAAACAAAGGATTATCGGGAGAAGGGACGACGAACATATCTTTCAAAAGAACGATACGTTGAAAGCTATGTTGAAATGTTGATGGTGCGTTGAAAGATTGAAAAATCATGCCCGTCGTTCCTTCTCCCGGGGTTGTTTAATTTTTTCTGTGTCGAGTTAAGACCGGCAATTTACCTTTCCAGACACTCGACTAGTTAGGTAATTGTGTTTACAATCATCAAAGACGCCACAAAAATGTGAAAGGGCTGTCATTTTTGTTAAAGAAAAGAAAAAAAAAAGCTTTTGCATTTTGTAGCGCACTTTTTGTCACGTGTTTTTTAATGAAGTATATGGCATGATCTTCTGCAAAGATTAATTTCTTACATGAAAACAAATGCAAACCAAATATACCACAAAAAAATTGTTCAAAACATTTACAAAATAATTCAGGAAAAAAATGCAAGACGTTTACAAATCTTTATAATGCGAAACTAGAGCCCAGCTCTTGAGAAGGAGGGGATTGTTCGGAGGGGAGGGCATGCAGAAGGAGGAAGGGAGGGTACAGAAAAGGAAGAAAGGTACTCCATACCCTTCCCTCTTTATCCGCACCCTCCCCTCCTCTTCCTCCATGTCGTTCCCTCCACCTTTTCCGTGTCCTCCTCCTTCTCCTCCCCCTTCTTCATTGTACGCACCCCTCCTCCTCCTCCGTACCCAGGAGGAGGGGAGGGTATGGAAGAGGAGGTGGAGGCAAAGGAGGAGGGTACGGAGCGTTTCCCCCTCCTGCGTAGCCTCCCCTCCTCTGCACCCTCCCTTTCCTTTGCACTTTCCGCTCCTCCTCCGTACCCTCCACTCTCCCTCCTTTGTACCCTCCCCTCCTCTTCTGCCGCACCCTCCCCTGCTCCTTTACATTACCTCCTCCATACCCTCTCCTCCTCCTGCGTACCCTCCTCCTCCGTATCCTCCTGTCCTCTTCCTGCGTAGCCTAGCCTCCTCCTCCATACCCTCCCCATCTCCTCTGTACCCTTCCTTCATCCTTCTCCATACCGTTCCCTCTTCCTCCTCCGGTTGCTCCGACGGCGACGGCGACGCCGACACCGCAAAACACGAGAACGAGCGCCTAAGAGCTGCGCACTGAAAGCAAAGCTTTCGTCATGTAAGGGTTCCGTCAGCGGCATTTTACATGTGCGAACAACAAATAATATTTTTTTTAAAGAAAAATGCATCTGATCTTGTAGGCTATTCCAAAACTTCTATTTGCCTACTGCTTAAGCTGGCTTAATTTTAACAAAATTTATGTTTTAATGCGCCCGTTAACAGTGAAGTAGAATCTCTGCATAGCTTCGGTAAGTACACACATTATTTGGCACGAAGGTTAAACCTAAAGAGATATTCACTTAAACCTAGTCGAGAGGATGTATAGATCACCTATCCACACCCAAATATTTTATTTATGTCTCAAATTAAGGTCAATCACCACAGATGGCGGACGCGGCTTGTCGAGGCACGGCAGTCTAACCTACATATTTGCATAACAACTGCAGTTTTATGTTGATGCTTCAACTTCAGTGTAGAGTTGTCTCATCAACATTCACCAAGGTACTACTTTTCTTAAAACACCAGAAGCGTGTGTGTCTACGGTATATCATCCGGTACCGTTGGCCTTTTTTTCCCTCTATATTTATGCAATCGGTTGTTCTGCAACGAAGTGAGATCAGTAAAATCAGAATGTCCACCTCGCGGATGTTGCTCTTTCGCACTGCACTACACTCTAAAAAAAGTCTGTGCGTGTACTTTCACGCACAACACTCGGAGAACCAATCAGCGCAACTTATGGAGGCAGCTGAGCGAATGACCATGCCGAAAGATCTGTTTAGACCAAAAAACGCAGTCTGAGTTGTGACATTAAGCAATGAAAGCGTGACGTTTTGCATTGCTTAATGTCGCAACTCAGACTGCGTTTTTTAGTCTAAGCATATGTTTCGGCATTGTCATTCGCTGAGTTGCCTCCGTAAGTTGCGCTGATTGGCTCTCCGAGTGTTGTGCGGGAAAGTAGACGCAGAGACTTTTTTTTAGAGTGTAACGCCCGATGAGAAGTTCTCCCAACGTAGCCAACTAACCGGACCATACCGACACCACCTAGGCTCATCAAGGCCTGGAAACGACCTCCTCTTTCTTCATGCAACGTCATCACAGTCGGGTGGCGCCAACTCACCCATTGGACCTGAACCCGACGCCTGACGACCTTCGACGCGTTGACTGGTCACGAGGCTTAGCCAAGCACTGAGGCAGCCCAATCTGTGGCTTCGCTCGATCGAAGTGTGATGGGGTCAAAGTTCTAGTGCACAGAATTCAATTATTCTAGGGGGTGTCGGCCATACCGGTATAAAAAGAAATATTGCTAAACTTCGTGTAACGTTCGATAGCAAAGTCGAACCCAATGATACATTGTTAAAATCGAGAACTTTGTGTTTTTGAATTTCTCATTAGCTATACTGTAACAATTCGGCAGGGGAGAGTTATTAGTTTTCGTATTATCAAAGAAGTAAAGTATTGGCGCACCTGATGATTTTGGAGAATTGTGGCAGAATTAGCAGAACAATTACTTTTTGCGAATGTTCTATAAAAAATGGCAAGGTAAGCCAGTTACAAGAGCTTTTTACATGACGAGAAAAGGGTTGATGAGAAGTACATCGTCGTTTCTCAGAAAAGGAAAGCTTAGACATCAAATATATATATATACGGGTGTGGTCATCCGTGCACGTCTTCTACGTTTTTAATCTTCTTCGTTTTTAAGAGTGTACATATTGGCTACAGATACAGCGTTTAGTCACCGATGCGCGAAGTACAATAATGCGTGTTCTTATGATCACAGAAATCTCGAAGTAAGCGGAGGAATAACGTTGACGTCCGAGCAAGCATCTCATCAAACTCGATACATTAATCATTCTTATGGAAACCAAAGCCTAAGAAGCACATACAGGAACATAAGATATCCCAAACTCAGCTTGCTCGCTGCTGAATTTTGTCTCTTCGTGTTTTCCCTTGCTCCGTGTGCCACAATCATGAAAGTGCACCATCTCATATCCTCTTTACTATTTCTACGTGAAGCAACATAATATCCGTGTGAACTGTACTACAACAATATATATTTTATTTATTTCAAGGAAGTTTGGCCAAGGCGTAGTAACAACAGTGCCCATGTCACCACCGGTGCCGCTTATTTTCACGCGGCTATAATGTAAACTTCAAGTGATTCATGCACTAGGTTACTCTTTTACAAGTAGGAAAAAAAAACATTAAACAGGCTATACGAGAAGGCTGGCAGGTGCACGACGCTTTAGTTCGTTTCTCTATTGACTGTCAGTGAAAGGTAGATATGAGCAGCCTTTCCAGTCAAGAAGAGCTATACCCTTTTACTTCGGTGCAACGTTAATTTGAAGTAACTATTTGGGACTTGCAGCCCTTTTACCAATCACGCAAGAATTTATCTGGACTCGTGATTGACCAGAAGACGTGTTAGTGAACAGTCACCTCGACTTTCGTTTGGTCGATGGCATTCCATTGTCCACAAACAATTAACCGTTGCATGACTTTTCACCTCTACTATCACCCCACAACTAAACAGGGCAAAGGACATCCAGAAATGGCACTCTGCATTCCCCAAGACAAGCAACAGATGGCCACTCACGCAGGAAAGACTCGAGGTCCACCTTGAGGTTCGTGATGGTCTGCCGACTCCTCTCGCTGAGAACGGAGCCGGCCTTGGTGTCTTCGCCCAGCAGGTCCGCGTCCGAGGGCATCCATGACGCAAGGACCAGCCGCAGGAACGAGATCTCCTTGCTCGCCTCATAGAGCCGCCCCGACAGCAGAATGAGCGCCAGGAAGGACAGCCCCTGCAAGGACGCCGAGGCACAGCTGAGCACGTCTTGTCAAGCAACCGTAACAATAAATCGTCGCGTCATCCCTGCTACACCATCTTTTTAACCAGGAATATGTTTTATGAGCTGATTTTCATGGAGTTCTTTCACGTTTGGCTGTAATAGCCGGCCGTAGTAAAAAAATAGACTGAAAAGCGTTACGCCTATAGGAAAACCATTATAGAGTCTTCTGTCACCCGGCAGGAGTTGAACTCAACACCTGGATATCGTGAGACATGTGCTTTGCCGACTAAAATATTCTTTATTTTTTTTCTTTACTGCCGACTGAGCTATTCAGTGTCGGTGGTCGGAGCACGCAAAACTAATTTATTGGTGCTGCGCGCAAAGACGCGGTCGCGCGCTTAGCGGCCTTTCCTCTTTTGCTGCGCCATCTCACGGCGTGTGCCCAACAATGAGAGCGAATCTTTTGTAGGCGGTGCCGGTCAGACGTTCTTCTTTCCTTCCCTGGAAAGCCTATCACACATTCCGTCCTTACCAGTCTTTTGCAGCATGATCAAGCTTGTACAATTTTTTTTTGTTCTATTTTCTAGTTGGTGTTTTGTTTAGACAGCGGGAAGTTAGCCTCAACGGGCGTATGGTTTGTCCGCTGTAGAGACAGCAAGTGTAGTACCACTGCCAGTTTGGGGTCCTTAACGTGCATCACGATCGAAATGAGCAGGTGAGGTAAATGAACCTACTACACCAGTCAGCACCTCCTTGGTAGCAAGGCTGGACTTTCTATGCCTCACCTACCTGATGCCGACTCGGGGCGTTGATTGGACGCGAGTGCAGTGTCAGCGTTCAGCTGGGATTCGTGCCATCACTGATTGGACACGAAATCCCAGCCGAACTCTGACGCAGCAGTCCCGTCCAATCAAAGTCACGTTCATACGGGCGTGGTGATGTAGAAGATCTAGTAATACGACCTCTTGCACCAATCCACTACGCGCTCAGTATTCCCTGAGTGTGTATGTGCACTGAAATTAACCCTGAAGGATCATTCGCCTTTCATTTAAACATTTGAAGCCAGTGAGAAGTGCGATCTGAACCATGCATCCTTCGTTTGTATTGTAGTTTCAAGGGCAAAAAAGTGTCCCCTTTTCGCCAGTGGAAATACGTCGTTAATGAATTCGGATCCCGGTCGTCCTTCTGACTGGCTGTGCTGATTAAAACAAACTCAACGATTAATGTTTCCCGTGAATCCTGGAGCAGTACAAATTAAAAAGCGTGTGAGATTGTAAATATTGGGAAATTCTAAAACCTTTTTTGAATGGTATTTGTAAGCGTGTTTCAAGTATACATACTCTAAAAAATGCCTGCGCGTCTACTTCTCCGCAAAACGCTCGAAAAGCCAATCTCTGCGAGCTACGAAATCAGCTCAGCGAATGATGAGGCGGAACATCCGTTTAGACCTCAAAATGAAGTCTGCGCTGTGGCATTACGCAATGCAACCATGACGCTTTGCATTGCGTAATGCCACAGCGCAGACATCATTTTTAGGTCTAAACGGATGTTCCGCCTCATCATTCGCCGAGCTGATTTCGCAGATCGCAGGGATTGGCTCTATGAGTGTTTTGCGGGTAAGTACACGCGCAGGCATTTCTTAGAGCGCAGTACTAAGCAAAACTACAGTTGGTTTTCAGTTGGTTTTTACGCGCCAAACAAATAAAATAAACAGTTTATAAGTTGCACGCTAATTAGTTAACACGTTTGTTTGTGTGTGTGCGTATTTCTCTGTAAATATTGCATGTAATAAACGAGCATTATAAAAGCAGTTTGACCGCGGTTGGTCCTACCTCTTTCTTGTTGTTTGTTAACTTAAATCTGAAAAATAAAAAAAAAATGTCAAACCAGGCCGAACAAGGCGTGGCGCAATTTTTCTCTGCCGATAATTTTCGGGTCGTCAAACGTTCTCCGACAGGCCACGTAAAGTGCTTATTGTTGTTTCCCCGGTGGTGGTGGCCACGTGCTAAAGAGGTGTGGCAATAATTACCCGACGACTATCAATCTTAGACACAGCTGCTGCCAGTGGCAGAACACGCGACCGCCATTTTCAGTGGGGCTCCCAACGCGGCGCTTGTACTTTCTTAAACAAACAACGCCCTGTCTCGTTCGCAGTGGGTGTAACTTTCCGAAGGCTAGGTGGAAGCGCGAAGTCCAGAAATGTGAGGTAGAAGAGTAGTTGCACGTGAGTGCTGTCGTAGCGACAGACGAATGAGAAGTGTGCGAAGATTTCAATGTGATTTGACGTTCAGCTCCTTGCTTTTGAACTTCATTTCATTTTCAGGACTACCTAATGAACCCTGGGTGTAATTGTGTGTGTGTGTGTGTGTGTGTGTGTGTGTGTGTGTGTGTGTGTGTGTGTGTGTGTGTGTGTGTGTGTGTGTGTGTGTGTGTGTGTGTGTGTGTGTGTGTGTGCGCGCGCGCACGCGCCTATTTTTGCGTCCGTGTTTGTGTGTGTGTGCGCATTGAAATGCCACTTGTACGTAGTATTTTCTTCTTTTTTTCTTTTTCTCTCTAAAACGCGATACTGTCTCAATATTTATTTAGAATAAGTCCCAGTGTTTCACATACAATGTAGATTTATACAAAAGCTAAGCAAATATAATACCTCGTCCCCGCGTCCGAATGCTGAGACCTTTTTAACATCGCCCTTCAGCATAAATAAATGACCTGAAACAGGACTAGTATTGTTAAATTAGAACTTGACATTTCTCTACTCCGAGTAACCAGTGTTCCAGCACGACGTCCGGTATACCCAGCGTGCGCCACATATCGGTAATTGTGGAAAGAGAATGGAAACGACAATAATTTAAGTAATAAACCTACTGAAGCAGTAACAGGCTCCGTGTAAACTTATTTCAAACAACAACTCTTCCTTTCTTAAAGCAAAGTCGAGGTTTCGTATTTCATGCGCGGGCTTTAAAAATAAAATAATGACCCTTGGCCGTCAAGATATAAAAACAATATTCATGTGACACCCGCGTTGTCAGTGATATGTTAGAGTAGCCGCCCAACTCCCGCCTAATTTATTTTTTTTTATTTTTTTTTTTTAAACGAGAACTCGACTAAAAATAAAACAACTCACCGAGCTGCTATCCAGCCACACCTTCCCGAAGGCCAGACTACATACACACCCTATAGACCTTTTTTTTCGCGCGCTAGATTTGAGCCTCCATTTCTGACCTGGTGTTGCCTCAACAACCCGGCAAATTAAATATGTAATGACAAATTTACACTGAACTTGCCCTGAGGATACTAACACTGTGGTTGACTTGACGTCGACTACCGTGTCACAACCTAATCATCCAATAAAAACATTTGCATCAAAAACAACACTGTGGCTTCTAAAAGGATAATTACCTGTCACGCGATTACAGCGGTGAAGTAAAGCGAACGGAATAAAAAAAAAAGAGAGAATGCTTGCCATGGATGCGCTCATGCTGAAAATCGTATGCTCGCCATATCAGTTTTTACAAAACAAATCACAAAATACGCTTGCTAACTCACAGCCCAGCGCGCGTACGTTCGCCGCTTCAGGAGGCGATCAAAGCACGCGCCATACGTGCGAGCATAGAGTTATTACAATAAACGCTAGAGGCTCCGCTGGCGCTAGTATCTATGGGTCTTTTGGTTGCAGATTAAAGCAGACAGCAATCAGTCAACTTTTCCAGTCTTCCTGTGTATTCGTATGGGAAAACTGACGTGATATTTTCTCTCCGCCAGGGAATAATATAAATCAGCGTAGTTTCTTTACTCGGAACGGGTACTATGCAGCTTTATTCAGATTATAAAAGTGTAATTTATATAGTCAATGTTTTTTTTTAATTACTGAGGCTCAGGTAAATGTTGTACAGCATATGTCAATATGCTGTGCAACATTCTAGCAAAAACAAAGAGCAAAAAAAAAACTGATTTATTATGATTATTTATGCACAGTTTGTTACTATTCAAGTACGTGTTCTTCGTTCCATAACTTCATGCGTTCTTCTCGTCGTCTGTTTTGATCGTTTGACTTGGCATATATTAGCACCCTTTTGGTGTTTTGTCAAGCTGATTCACTCTGTGTGCTTCACAGCATTGACTATATGTGTAAATGCGCGCCCTATAATAACAGTCTGCGACGTCATCACGTATTATACATATGCATTGGGCTATTTTAGCGCAGTTTTCGACGAAATGAATTCTAAAGATAAACACTCTAACTGACACGCAGTTGTGTACATTCGATTGCAGAAAGTTCGAAACTTTTTATTCTGTCACAACACTAAGCAATATGTGCTCTTACAATGGAGCGCGAAGAGAAAACGCATTTGCGTTTCGCCATAGGGGTGCATTATCGGAAGTCAAATTTAGACTGGCTGCTGTCTGCTTCAAAATGCAACAGCACACTAGTGCCACCTGAGCCTCTAGCGTTTATTGTAATAACTCTATGCGTACGAGTTCTAAAGATGGCACCACCCAGAAGACCTTTTTTTGGTTAGGGTGTGGCCTTTAAACTGTTTACGAAAATCATAGACCACACTGAGTGTGTCAAAAACTTGCCCGCTGGGACCTTCACATAGCCATGAGACGCTGGTGTGAAACGGACAAACAGCAATGAACTTGCACCACACGACAAAACGAGACAGTTTAGACGAGGGGAAACAAGGCCGGAAGAACAATATCCAACGCGACGCCAACCGCAGGCCAAAGTCAGATTGTGACAATAAAATAAAAGGTGTCACCAAAAAAAAATTAAAGATTTTTTTTTTTTACTGCAAAAATAAGTTAGGCATTGCCGAACGCTTATTCTCCGCCCAAAAGCAGCGCTATGGCCACAACCAGATGCCAAAGTTTCAGCCCGAACGGACACCTTATTCAAAAGTTATGTGATTTTCTGAAACTTTCAATGAGAAAAATGGAGCCCATTTTTGCCCGTTTTCGGTTTCTGGTGCCCATAGAGCCCCAAGTATTCGGCCGCCATTTTCTTATTG